TGACATTAACTTTGATCGTTCTACGATCATGGAAATGTTATAACTCTGTAAGTTAACTAACAATATATATATATATATATGTAATGTTATAACTCTGTAAGTTAACTAACAATATATATATATACATATGATGTTATAACTTTCAATTTCGTTTTCTATGGTAGGTTAGAACAATAACCTGCACGCGACTCGTGGGTCATACTTAGGTACGAGAAATATGTGAACTTTCAAGCGGTTTTATTGGTCTTATATAACACATTAATGTGTATTAATGTCTATATATGAAAGCGTCTATAAGAATGTGATAGGTGTGACAATTCTCAAAATAAAAGTAACAAAAAAAAAAGCACACGCAATGAAAGGATGTCATGGTAAATATATAAAGAGTGAAACATATCGTATGTCCAATATATATATATATATATTTATTTATTTATGTGGCATTCTCTAGGGCACGGTAATAGCAGTCAGCTAAACTAGTATCATTATTAGATATATATATATGTAAACACTATCTTTGGCCTCAGTAGAGAATTCTAACAAAGCACGTGTTTTTCTTCTCACTCGTATGTTTAATACTGCTACATTAGATGGCGCTGCTTTACACCTAGGGTATTGCCTGGAAGAAGGATGCAGCTATATCATCTCACTATGTACAGTTTCAACATAAGTATATACGCCATAAATCTGAAGTGGAAGAGCTCTTTGAGCAGATGGAGCCTAGCGGATCCTCTAGTGTGGACGTTGCTTTACACCTAGGGTATTGTCTGGAAGCTTAGCGGATCCTCCAATGTGGACGTTGCTTTCACTTGCACGTGTACACTTCTGTTCTTTCATTGCACGTGTGGCAGTTAACAAAGCAACACCAATGAAACTTACAGTTACACTGCCAGGTCCGTGTGTACTGGTGGGTGTTGTAACCCCGACCGCAACACAACAGATCACACCCGTCGATGCCGGTAGATGATCGATTACAGCGCCGTCCCACGGTTCCGAGTGAACCGCGCGATAGGTCAAGCTCACAATAATTTGGTGATCGCTCGAGATACACCAAATGTTTAGAACGCGGCTTCCGTTGGCGGCGCTTCGATCGCCGGTGTAGATATAACGGTTTCTTGGAAGGGGAACGCTTCCCCCAGAAAGGTACGACTCTTTTCGCTTTATGAAATCTGTTCATGAGAAAGTCTCCGATCTTGGCGAACGACGGCAGAGTTTTCCAGCACGTCTTCATCGTGCACGATCCGGAAACTCCATGGCACTTGCATTCCGTTAGCAAGTTCCGTTTGACTGCCTGTGGAAGAAGTCTTCATCAGATATTACAAAATTAAAGAAATAAAAACGTTATTAGCTTGTGGCAGTACAAATGTTGTCATCTTACATTAGTTGCTTCATTTAGCAAAGCTGAAGTTACAATATACAGGTTTCACCTTGCTCCTAACACTAAGCGTAAAATCTAGGTTACCTGAATTCTAACTGACGTATCTGTTCAAGAATGAACACAATATAATGTTTGGTCCATCTCGGCTGTTAACAGAAGCGTTATATGGTAATATCAGCGTACAAGATAACGGAATGGTTACGTGGTAACACTAGTGTACAAGGTAACAGAAGAGTTATATGGTAATATCAGTGTACAAGATAACGGAATGGTTACGTGGTAACACTAGTGTACGAGTTAACAGGACAGTTATATGGTAATATCAGTGTACAAGATAACGGAATGGTTACGTGGTAACACTAGTGTACGAGTTAACAGGACAGTTATATGGTAATATCAGTGTACAAGGTAACGGAATGGTTATGTGGTAACACTAGTGTACGAGTTAACAGAAGAGTTATATGGTAATATCAGTGTACAAGATAACGGAATGGTTACGTGATAACACTAGTGTACAAGTTAACAGAAGAGTTATATGGTAATATCAGTGTACAAGGTTACAGAATGGTTACGTGGTAACACTAGTGTACAAGTTAACAGAAGAGTTATATGGTAATATCAGTGTACAAGATAACGGAATGGTTACGTGGTAACACTAGTGTACGAGTTAACAGGACAGTTATATGGTGATATCAGTGTACAAGATAACGGAATGGTTACGTGGTAACACTAGTGTACAAGTTAACAGAAGAGTTATATGGTAATATCAGTGTACAAGGTAACGGAATGGTTACGTGGTAACACTAGTGTACGAGTTAACAGGACAGTTATATGGTAATATAAGTGTACAAGGTTACAGAATGGTTACGTGGTAACACTAGTGTACGAGTTAACAGAAGAGTTATATGGTAATATCAGTGTACAAGATAACGGAATGGTTACGTGGTAACACTAGTGTACAAGTTAACAGAAGAGTTATATGGTAATATCAGTGTACAAGGTTACAGAATGGTTACGTGGTAACACTAGTGTACAAGTTAACAGAAGAGTTATATGGTAATATCAGTGTACAAGGTAACGGAATGGTTACGTGGTAACACTAGTGTACAAGTTAACAGAAGAGTTATATGGTAATATCAGTGGACAAGGTAACGGAATGGTTATGTGGTAATACTAGTGTACAAGTTAACAGGACAGTTATATGGTAATATCAGTGGACAAGGTAACGGAATGGTTACGTGGTAACACTAGTGTACAAGTTAACAGAAGAGTTATATGGTAATATAACAAGGTTTGAATTAACTTAAGAGTTGAAAGAGTTATGTAGGTGAAAAATACGATTAAACAGCAGTTTTAGAATATGAGTTATCAAAAGAGTTACGGGTGTTTGAAATAATAGATATATTGGAAGAAAGTAAGGATACAAAAGGTCCAAGGTTCGACATCCCAATAATGTAAACCCAGAAATGACATCCAACTTGTTTTGACCGTCAAGTAAGCGACACTACAGCGAGACGAAACAGAGTGAATGTCAATGTCGTTTTTCTCTCTAACAACAAGATGAAACGTTGATAACGTCTCGGGGAATTACGTTAGATCTTTAGCTTCACTAAACCGGAACGGTTTTCTGCAGGAATTTAAGCGGTGCTAAACAACACACGTGAACGTCAAGATCTTTTTTTTTTTTTTCTTGGTTGACAGATGAATGGAGGGATGATAATGTGTTAAGGTAGCAAGAGGAACATTTCTGTAAAGATTTAAGTGGTGATACTTTTTACATTAAGCAGGAGTACCCGATCTCTTGCTGACAGTCAGGAGTTCTAATCCCAGTAACGAGTACTTACTGGGATTAGAACTCCTGACTGTCAGCAAGAGATCGGTGAGTACTTACTGGGATTAGAACTCCTGACTGTCAGCAAGAGTCGGTGAGTACTTACTGGGATTAGAACTCCTGACTGTCAGCAAGAGATTGGTGAGCACTTACATGGATTATAACTCCTGACTGTTAGCAAGAGATCGGTGAGTACTTACTGGGATTATAACTCCTGACTGTCAGCAAGAGATCGGTGAGCACTTACATGGATTATAACTCCTGACTGTTAGCAAGAGATCGGTGAGTACTTACAGGGATTAGAACTCCTGACTGTCAGCAAGAGATCGGTAAGTACTTACATGGATTATAACTCTTGACTGTCAGCAAGAGATCGGTGAGTACTTACTGGGATTATAACTCCTGACTGTTAGCAAGAGATCGGTGAGTACTTACAGGGATTAGAACTCCTGACTGTCAGCAAGAGATCGGTAAGTACTTACATGGATTATAACTCTTGACTGTCAGCAAGAGATCGGTGGTTGATGACCGCGGGAGAATAATTTCTCCATCTTCCCTCGATGGCTACCCAACCTTCCCGTTTGTTCAACAATTTGTACACAGAACTAATAAAAGCAACTTACAGTCAAACAAAATGCGTTTCTTTTGAAAACAAAACATATTTTGGAGTATTTGAAAATGGATAAAATTTATTGTTGAGCTTTTGATATTTAGTAATAGTAGAAACTTGTCAAATATTATAAGAAAGGCCTGAACGTTTCCTTAGTTGAGATGTGATAGGTTTGTGCTAGTCACGTGATTACCTGTAGATTACCTGCTTAAGGCCTTAGGCTGTTATTATAAAAATACTCCAAGTACCTTACTGCCTGTAGATTACCTGGCTTTAAGCTGTTATTATAACAATACCTAGACTTTATTTCCTTGTTTTAGATGTAGATGTATAACTAGTAACAATACCTAGACTTTATTTCCTTGTTATAGATGTATCACTACGTAACAATACCTAAACTTTATTTCCTTGTTATTAGATAACACACTCACCTTTCTTCCAGCTTTGTTGTTGTGAAGGTTCATCAGCGAACGAGCGTCGCCTTCAAGCTCTCTAGCGTCCAGAAATTGCCGGGCTAGCTTCATTCCATAACGGACGTCGGCACTGCATCCTCCCCACTTCCACTCTCCCCGTCGGCTAATTCCTTCCTTTGTTCGATCACACCCACACAAGCTAATGTTTCCTCGGCTGCATGCCTGGGTAACAGCGTATGTAACGCCCGCAGAACTGATGGCGTAAACGTAGGCTGCCTCACGACTACCTGCGTACAAAACGTGTGTTCTATAAGTAACTACAGATCTT